GTCAATCATTATGGTTCTTATTTTTCCAGTTTGCATTGAGCTTGCCAAGTTGGCCAACACGTCGGCGTGGTTGTTATTATCTCGGCTGACTTGAAGAAGTCGGCAATTGCGAAACAAGCTTGCCAATCTGATGACCTTCTTTGCGTATGCCGACATCCTCTCATCTCGGGTTGTAAACTCTCTTGTTGTTTGATTTACTATAAGTTGTGAATCACAAAAAATTATTACCTCATCTACCTCTGCCGCCACTGCTAGCATCAGTCCTGCAATCAGTGCTTCGTATTCTGCCTCATTGTTTGAGGCTTTGAACCCCAATTGAATAGACTGTTCCAATATCTCCCCATCAGGAGATATTAACACTACTCCTGCCCCCGCTCCTTACCGATTTGAACTCCCATCGACAAACAGACAAAAGGAGTCGCCGATGTAAATGCTGCAGGGTCTTAGTTTTTCTTTTCCTTGTTCTTTTGTCTTTGGCTGGGCTTCTCCTTGTTTGCTTGGACATCATTCATCTCGGCTCAACGGAGCCTGATGTTCGATGGATTCCAGCGTGAATTCGGCCACGAAGTCGGCCAAAACTTGGCCCTTAATTGCTGTTCTTGGTCTGAACTCCAGGTCGTATTGGCCTAAGGCCACTGCCTATCTTGCTATTCTTCCAGTTAAGTCTCCTTGTTATAACAAGGACTTCAGTGGGTGTTCTGTCAGCACTATAATCTTGTGCGCTTGAAAGTAATGGCTCAGCTTCTTTGAAGCCATTACTAAAGCTAGCACCAATTTTTCTAAGGGTAGATACCTTGTTTCTGCATCGGCTAAGGTTTTGCTTACATAGTAAACAGCCCTTTGCTCCCATTTTTCTTCACGAATTAATACGCACTTATTGCATGTTCTGAAACGGCTAAGTACAAAAACAGTTCTTCTCCAGGTTCAGGTGTTGAGAGGACTGGAGCCGTGGTCAGATACTTCTTTAGGTCGACCAAGGCGGCCTCATATTCCTCAGTCTATAGGAAGTCTGTGGCCTTCTTTACCAAGTTGAAGAAAGGTTTACATTTGTCTGAGCTTCGGCTTATGAACCTGTTTAGGGCTGCGGCCCTTCCAGTAAGCATCTGAACTTGTTTTGCCGACGTCGGGCTTTTTAGCTCTAGGATGGCCTTGATTTGATCTGGGCTGGCCTCAATGCCCTTTCTTGTTACCAGGTACCCCAAAAATTTACCTGATCCAACTCCAAACGCGCACTTCGATGTGTTGAGTCGGAGCCGGTATGTTTTGAGTATCTTAAAGACCTCTTTTAGGTCGGCAAGATGACCCCTTGGATCCTTGGTCTTCACGACCATGTCATCAATGTAGACTTCTACTGTTTGGCCAATCAGATTTTTGAACATCTTGGTTACCAAACTTTGGTAAATTGCTCCGGCGTTTTTCAACCCGAAAGGCATTACCTTGTAACAATACAGTCCTTTCGGGGTGATAAACGCTGTCTTCTCTTCGTCTGGAGGGTACATGGCTATCTGGTGGTATCCTCTGTAAGCGTCCAAGAAGCTCATCCTTCCATGTCCAGATGTGGCGTCTACCAACTGGTCAATCTTGGGTAGAGGAAACCAATCTTTGGGACAAGCTTTGTTCAGGCTTGTAAAATCTACACAGACCGGCATTTACCGTTCTTCTTCTTTACCACTACTGTGTTGGATAGCCATGTTGGGTAATGAACTTCTTGGATGGCCCTGGCCTCCAGAAGTCTGTCCACTTCTTCTTCTACTGCTTCGACGTGCATCAACGTCGGTCTTCTAGCTCGTTGAATCACAGGTTTTGCCGACCTGTCAACATTCAATCTGTGGCAAGTGACCTTGGGGTTAATGCCAGACATTTTGTAAGGCGTCCAGGCGAACACCTCAATGTTGGCTCTTAAAAAAGTCTCTAACTCTTTTTCCTCTTCTTCGGCTAAGCCCGAGCTGAGAAGAAAGAAGCGTTCTTCGTCTCCATCTTGGACGAGGATTTTCTTCAGCGCTTCTTCGCTCTTCTCGGCTGGTTCTTTGCCGATGTCTTCTAGGACTTCTACGTCCTCATCTTCAATTTCTACCCTTTCTGGTTCTCGAATGTTGCAGGTGGATTTCATTGCTGCCATGTAGCAATTCTTTGCCTGCAGTTGATCTCCTCTGACTTCTTCAATCCCATGCTCTGTTGGGAACCGCAATAGTTGATGCAATGTTGAGGGAACTGCCCCCATTGCATGCAACCATGGCCTTCCTAAGATGATGTTGTATGGCGAAGGCGTGTCAATCACCATGAATTCTGTCTTGATATTTTTAGTGCCAGCTTGTACTTCCAAGCTTGTTGCGCCCAGTGGCCATGTCGGCGTTCCGTTGAAGCCGACCATCGGGCCATTTGATTGCTCCAAGTTATCAGGATGAAGGCCCAGCTCTTTGTAACATCTAACGTACATGATGTTGTAAGAGCTGCATTGATCAATCAGGATGCGTTTCACTTGGCATTCCCCAACCTGGAGGGATATTACCAAAGCATCATTATGGGAATGTTGGACCATCTCTAGATCGGCTTCAGTAAATGTTATCGTCGGTCCCTAGCATTCTTCAGGCCGAGGTCGTTTATGTACAACCTGGTTCACATTTTGCAGGTGTTTTACCTTCTGGGTCTCTCCTCGTATGTCGTTTTCGTTCACCTTTGAGTGAATTACGTTAACCACCCGTGGTCCTCCTACGGGTGGTTGCTGTGCTGGAGGAGGCGGAGCTGCTGGTCCTTGAGGCAATCTTGCCTGTTCTTCTCTAGTCTTGGCCTCATCAACAAGGTCCCTCAGATGTCCTTGCCTTACCAAGTCTTCTAAGTGTGCTTTTAGGGCTCTGCAGCCCTGAGTTGGATGCCCTTCTTCATTATGGTAAGCACAACGCCTACCAACGTTTCTTCCCATGAATTCCCCTGGTGTTTTTGTCGGTCCTCTAAAATATGGTTGGTTTCATATTTGATCCAAGACTTTGTGGATCGGGAATCGGAATATAGTCGTTACTGCCTGTTTAGCCCTCAATTTCTTGTTTGGTTGGTTCATCGTTGCCTCGGTTTCGCTTCGGTGAGTCGTTTCCTTTCTTCTGCTTTGTTTCTTTATTTCTCGACGTATCCTCCTCGGCTTTGGCGTACTTCTCTATTCTCACCATGAGTTCTTCCATGCTTTTTGGCAATGTCTTTGCCAAAGATTTTCGTAGTGGACAGTTATCTTTCAGGTTGTTCTTGAAGGACACGACCGCCACCTCTTGGTTGCAATCAGGTATTCGATTGAACACCTCGTAGTACCTTTTTGCGTAGGCCCTAAGGCCTTCATCCTTGGCGATCTTTAAAGCCATCAGTGCGTCGACCCTCAAGGGTTGTAGTTTATTTGTCACAAACTTGGCCACAAACATCTCGGCCAGGACTTCCCAAGTCTTTACGCTTCCCTTCGGTAGTTTATGGAACCAATCTGATGCAATTTTCCCAAAGGACGAGGGGAATACTTTGCAGAGCAACGGCTCGTTCCCACTATATAATGCCATTGAATTCAGGTATAGCCCGACGTGGAAGTTGGGATCTGACTTACCATCATATATTTGGAACCTCGGCATACTGAATCTCTTTGGTGCTTGAAATTTGTCCAGTTCCACTGAGAATGGTGTCTTCAGCTTAACTGATGAAGTTACCTCGGCTTCGGCATTCTGTTGCTTCCATTTGAGGTAATCTCTCAAGTCTTCTTTACTCCTCCCTGGAGCTCGGCTATCTCTGGACTTCAATCTCTTCGGCACACTACTTTCGGCCTCATGGTGGGCTCGTTTTGATCTCTCTCCATGTGTTGTGTCAAAGCAGAGCGCCTGCCCTTGAACATGCCGATGTTCTTTGGGCTCTGGATCCTTCGTGTGATACGTTCTTCGGGACTCCTCTCGTCTCGGCTCTTCTCGTCTGCCTTCTCTGGAAGGTCGGTGAGAGTGCCTTCCGCTCCTGGTGTGCTGAGGGACTTCAGGGATTGTTCTTCTTTCTCCCTTCTGGGTATTAATTGTTGGCATCGGCGTATCTTGCAGCGGGTATGGTGGCTGCATGACATTATTTTGCATCATAAAGTTGACCACTGACTGTAGGTCTGCCAACTTGTTTGCCAAGTCTTTTACTTCCTCATCCCTTCGTAGGCACCTATCCCTCCATACCTGAAGGTTATCTTCGTTATAGTACTTGCTTTGGTCTGTTCTCTTCGAAGTGTCGCCTTTCTAGTCGACGTCTTTCTCTCCGTGGCCCTGGTCATGAGTTTCTGCATTGTGGTTGTCTCCTTCAACGTCAAGGTCAATTGGTCTGCCACTCCCAGCAGGAGTGTCGCCTCCAATGTTTTCCTTCTGTCCGTTACTGGCCATCTATTCTTCTAAGTTTCCCACAGACGGCGCCAAATTGTGTGGGTGATTTTCTGACCACACTGCCCGCCTAGTAATCAGCTGGAGAGTACTGGCAGAATAGATGGCTTCAGCTAACCTGTAACAGAAAGAAAAGGCTCCGGCGGTGGCTCTTCCACCCGGGGGCACTCTGACGATCAAGTCAGTATATCTCTCAAAGATAATCAAGTGCTAAACTCACTATTCAATGCATAAAACTGTGTACCTTAGACCCACAGAGGTGCCTCTCTTTTATAGACAACTCAATCCTGATCCCACTAGAAGCCTGCCTTCTATGGACTCCCATTCAGTGCTTACTTTGGATTTCTCAAGAGATAAAGATAAACTCCCTAAGAGCTTTATCCTTATCTTGGCTAAGTCTTCTCTTTACTCTAGGACTCTTGTCCTTTATCTTTTATCCATTTATCTCGGATTCCGATATCTTCGGAGATAACCTCGGACTTGCCGAGATAACCTCGGCGTTACAACCTGGACACGTGGCATCTCGACTGACACGTCGGCGTCACCTTGCCACATGTTGGTATTCAAAAAATACATCCCCACAGGAATAGGGGCGTTTAACCAAATATGTTGTGCCTCACACGCCTATTTTTTAATCCCAGAATACTTGTTAAGGCTCTGTGAACCCTTATTTTGAATCCTCACGCATCTCTCTTGCTCACCCCCAATTGCTTCTATACATTGAGAGCGATTTCAATTCAGAGTGATTTTCTTTGAGATTCTTCTTTGAGATTCTTACAGATTCATCAGAGCAATTTCGATTTGAAGCTCTGAATCTCCTATGTCTCTCTCTCTCTCTCTCTCTCTCTCTCTCGATTCATCCTTTGTTCTCTGTGATATCGATCTTAAGCTCTGAAGCTCTGGGAGATTGCGAAGAGAGAAGAGGGGTTGGTTTCGATCGCAGACGAAGTGATCTTAAGAGAGGCTGTGCTTAATTTCTTAGATTGGTCTCAGAGCGATTTCGATTTTGAGATTCATCTCAGAGCAATTTCGATTTTGAAGTTCTCTCTCTCAATTTCGAAGCTTCACTGCGAGGTATTGATTTCTCTCTCTCTCTCTCTCTCTCTCTCAAGCTCTTCCTTCCCTTCTCTCTTGATTTGATTATTGGGATCTATTGTTTATTTGTGTTGTGTTGTGTGTGTGTGTGTATATATATGTGTGTGTATATATATATATATAAATGTTGGGTTTCTTCGTTTTCTTTCCCCCCACTATGTCACGGTTTAGCTTACCTGAAATCTTAGTTACATTTTTTCTAACCTTCAGATATGTAAAGTTTTTATTTCCTCAAGCTGCTCATTTATCACCTCTACGTGCTTAGCATTTTTTTTTCTATGAAGAAATGATTGACTGGAAATCTAACAGTATAGATGTTCAGCATTACAATATTATTCTTAACAAGGAGATTCTGAGACTGAAGTGATTGGGCTTTTAAAAACATTTTCCAAGAAGAAGTTCATAATATATTCTCTGGAGTTGTCAAAGGAATGGCACATAACTGAAATTGGGTACAATCATGTTTTAGAGAAATCATGCAAGAAATTTTATTTTTGGACATCATCTATAAGGCCAGATAGCAAAATGTTGTATAAGGTAATTCAAAGGGTCAAAATGTTGGCTCTATTTGGCTTCCTTATGCCCTATAGACAACTTTATTTTTTAAAATTTTTTCACTTTCTTTTCATGATCTTAGTACTGATACATTTTGGCTTGGTGAATTTTAATGCCTGTTGATAAATAGACCACGTTTTGTTCTTGCAGTGGATTCAGTTTCCTCTTGGGATGAATTTATCTAAATCTGAGTCAGGTTGCTAGAGCCACCCAAAATTTTTCACCATCAATGAAGATTGGTGAAGAAGGCTTTGGAACTATCTACAAGGCCCTGTTACCAGGTGGTCAGGTAATTGCCATAAAACGAGCTAAGAAGGTAAGCTGTAGTTTCTTCTCATGTCTTAGAATTTACTGTTTCTACCATATTAATTTTCCTCACAAGATAACATTAATTTCTTGCTATATCTCTAGAAGAAGCTGTCACATTGTGGTTTCATTTCACTAGGAACCGTCTCAGACCAGACAAATCAAAAGTTTGATTGATCTTCAAATTGGTGTTCGTGATAGATACCAAGTAGGATGCGGCTAGAATAAGTAAAACAAAGGGCTGATATAATATACAGGGATCATGTGAGGATTTTAGTTGATCTTTGCAAATCAATAGCTTAGGACAATCACCCTGTTAAAACAGTGCCACATACATTCATCTCATGGCAAATATGCTAGTTTTAAAGCCAGTATTTCTAGAGAAAAATCTCTAGTTTCTACAATTAGCACCACTGGTGGTGCAACTAATGCACTCTCTAGCAGCATTACTGATGCAGCTGTACCTGGAGTTGGTGGTGTTCTTAGTAGATACCTTGGAATAACGCCTGCTTATTTATGGCAAACTCAGCTCCAACAAGCACCATTATCCATGGTATGATTCTTTATATGGTGATAGGATAAAACATGTTTTAGACAAATTATCACGTGTATTTTTTAAAATATATATATTTAATACAAAATGTATGTGTTGTGGTTTAGATTGTTGTTCATAGTTATGATCCATATTTATACCAATTTTTATTTCTCTTCCTGTTCTTATGAGTAATCCCTTTAATAGTGTTGATATAGAAGGGAAAAAAAAAATCTTATAGTTTCCTTTTAATTGTAGGGCATGGCTGAGTACCAGAGGCCACTTTTCTGTGAAATTGATGGTTGTTTAAAAGCTAAATGTGATAAGTTAGCAGATGCCTTTGAAATAGATGATATTGGTTAGTCGTAATTACTCTCTATTCTCTCTGTGCACAGATGAAGAGATATTGTGTGTATAATATTACCCGTTGTTTGGTGTTGCAGACACTTCATCTGGTAATCAAAGTTCAAGTGCTCGGCTTCCAGAAATGTTTGTGTTATTTTTTCATTTTGTCATTATTAATGGTGCAAGGTCTGTTCTGAATGTCAAGGCTATGATGATATACTTTTTTTTGATTGTTTGAAATTTCAATATAAAGCGGTATGGTCTATATACTTGTCATGATGGTACCATGCTGTGTATGCTTGTTGCCATTTAGCTGAACATGATTTGAAGCTTTTGTAGATCAGATTGTGCAAAGAGACACTTTAAAAAATTTAAGCTTTAAAGGTGTTTCTTCATTTTTTTTATCCTTATTTTACCTATTATTTTTTCTTTTTCAAGTTTTTCCTTTGACTGGAGAGCATTACAAAGATTGTTTTTGAATTTTATTCACTTAGACCTTCAAGTTCTTGTGTACCTAATTGGAATAGTCTCTAATTTATGTGCTTTAATGGAAAATCTATAATTCTTGCTGTGATCTAATTTCTGAAAACATTGTGGATTGTGAATTTGTGTGGATTTTTTTATTGTATAGTTATAGTTATGGATTTGAAGAAAGGAAAAAGAAGCGAAAAGTAGGGAAAAAAATTGCTCAATCTCGATCGGAGTTATTGATAAATTTTTTGGTAGTAAGAAACAAATAATAGAGAGTTCTGATTTGGTTGATGAAGATTTGATTTGGTGATTAAAGAACCTAATCAATGTATAAATGATAAGCTAAGAAGAGAGAGTTTATTGAAGAAACAATATTATTTTACAGAGACAAAATCATATATACATACAGAGAGAGTTTGTGTAAACTACTTTCCCTGGGTTGTAAAGCATGGAAACCCTCAACTACACAATGAGCATATGTTGATCCATCTATCTACCTTCATGCATACCTATCTATATTTGCATTAATCCATAGCGTCTATGAAGCCCACCACATTGAACTTCTCTTGAGACCCAAAAAAATCCCAACAAATCCCTCCCCAAATCTAAGATCCAATAAGGATTGACAATCACAACGTGAGTATGACTTCCATTTGCTGCATGTTTTAGCTTCAACTGATTTTGAACTTTATAGTTTCTTTGCTGCCTATTATAATTTATATCTCTTAACTGATCTGAAACTGAACAATTAAGGAAATGCAGTAGATCTTGTTGATGATTTTCTATTATGTAAATGTACGGGGAGGAAATAATTCTCCTCGTATAATCCTGTTGACCAAGTCCACGCTCCTCCGTACGACGTCGCTTTGTCACCTGAAAACACAAACGTGAGCTAGCCGGCGGGTGTGTGCCGGAAACCTCTCCGATGCCTAAGTCAGTAAGCTTGACAAATAGACAAAGTTTTATGTTCTCAAAAAGGTTGTGTTCAATTACCTCCTCCAAGGTGATGCTTGTGAGCTTTTATAAGTTTCCTGTGGCACAATCCTAGTAGGACTTGTATTTCTCCATGCAGAGTCCTCCTGGGATTCATTCTCCTAAGGATAATGCTTATCCTTTTACACCCTCCCCCACTGCTTAAACCAAGTGGGATGGTTTTCTTTATGGCCGAACTTCCATTTGACCGAAGTAAAATAGGCTATACCGAGCCACAGAGGGCCGAACTATCCTTAGCTCGGTCTTCTCCTCTAACTCCTTACTTCGGCTGTTCTGTTCACCCTTGACGTACTTAGATCAAACTTCCAAGTAACAAGTTCTGACCGACGTAAACTGTCTTCTACACCGGTCCGACACGAGCCAGTGTCTTCTACATCGGTTTGCCATAACCATACAGTCTTCTACAACGGTCTGACACGACCATACAGTGTCTCTTATCCATTTTTTATTTTATTTGTCAGATTATTTTCCTGTTTTGTTACTCTCTCCAAACTCAGGTTGGTTAGTGCCTATCCTCCTTGAGTTTGAGGGGGGCTGTTAGAATATAATATGTAAAGTGCTGCTTTAATAATTAGGTTAGTATAATAATTAGTATGCTTTAATAATGTACCTTTAATATTTGTGCCTCTACTTTCGGTTGTAATTGTTCTCCCTCTCCTCTATAAAGGAGAGAGCTCAACACAACATAAAAGACAACTACATCAATCATAATACATACAATTGATTATCTCTGCATTTCTCTCTTTTACATTAAATTTAAGAATGCAGTAGATCTTGTTGATGATTTTCTATTATGTAAATGATCAGTTTTATAACTTTTTCATTGAGGATGAGTATACCTCCTGTCCTTGATTGGGTATTGAGAGTGAGCAAATTCTGCTCTCTACTATGAATGTTCCTGAAACTGTATAAAGAGTTAAAAAAGAAGAAGGTAAATTCATCTTATCGACTTCTACATTGATCTTAGTAGCAAACTAAATAGCATAAAATTATATGTGTACATGCATCATAAAAGATATTCGTGATATATGTAATACATGTTGGTGCACATATGTTTAATCCCTGGCATGTGCACATGGAAATGTGTATGAGGAAGCAAATTGAAGAAAGCATTTGTTCTTTGCACTTCAAAAAGTAATTGAGCTTTTCCATTCATATGCATGATGTGTATATTTATCAAATTCTTTTCACTTCAAAAAAGTTTGATTCTTATGTCTTTTTTCATTTAATACCAAGATGCAAAACCTAAAATCTGAGCAACATACTTAAAGTGATGGTCCATTAGCCACATCCGACAATAGAAGATCAAATGACAACAATTGGTAGTCATCCTAGCAATACTAAATAAAAAGTCTTTCCAATCATTTGGGACTTGCTTTCTGATATCATGATTTTCACTGTATAATGCTGTAGCTTATGGTTACAACATTAGTCATGTGTCATATCCAGGGCAATTGCTTGATAAAGAACTGATAACTTTGATAGAGCCACTAAATTTATGGAACTCATAGTAGTTTGGTCTTTATTGATTGATTTAAGAGAGCAATGCATTTCTTGAATCTATCATAATCTATCAAGAGCATTGTAGAAACTTTTAGTTTCTTCATAGAAAGCCTTTCTCAGTCATAGTTGGTAGCTGTGATGATAGAATTAGTAACTAGGGTTAATTAGCTAGAAAAATGTTGGTAAGTTTTACATGCATTACAGTAGCTAACATTTCCTGCTTTTAATCCTTCAGGACTTTTAAGTATAAGCAAATCTCTCAATAGTTCTGTATGTTCATCATATTACTTTGAATTGATTTAGTGTGATGCATGTAAGTTAATGCACATTTAGATGGGCATTGCTGCACATTATTTCCATTGAAGCTTATTACAATTCATTTGTGAAACAGAGGATTTGGGGATCTTTGATGTTTCAAGCCAATCATCCGTTTATTGTCATTTGTAAAACAGATGCTTGTCCCTATTAAAAAGATAAATTCTCTGTATAGGAGAAAGTAACAGTCTTGTGCATTGGCGTTTTTCCTTCTAAGATGCCTTTGCCTCATACTTTTACCCTCCCAAAGCAGCTCCTATGGGGTTGCTATTTGAGCTGTCATAGCTATATTATGGCAGTCGGGTGCTCCAATGGAGATGTCATTAAAGTTATATATATATATATATTTATTATTTATTTATTTTTATTTATTTTGTATGTGCATTCATGAGTGTTTCGCTAAATTCAGCAACAAAAACAGTAACTCTTTATATATGTATATCAAATGTATTTCTGTTGTATTAAGTTGTGACGCAGGTAATTTTTCAGATTTTTTATTTTTATTTTTTTTCTGGCCCGAAAAAACAACTTCGTTTCTTTGTATTAATGGAATTTTTTTTACGAGAAATATTAAAAAAAAAAATCTTGATGCTTCAGTTATTTACCTAAAATATAGTAGAGTCACAAGTTGCTTCATTCACCAACTAAATTTGATTTGTTGGGAGGAAGAACTGTGTTGAATCAAGAAGGGTTGACTTTTGTTAAATCTATTTTCTATAACAGCTTTAGATATGTTACATATGATCACTATAATTGAAATTGGTTTGATCTATTTTTCCAAGAATAGTACATATCCTAAGCAGTTGACTTATCTTATTTGTGAACTACAACTCTTTATGAGTTCAAGGAGAGCATACAGTCTGTAATGTTTTTGTAGTGGAAGTGGATAGAACCATAGACAGACCTGTAGACACTAAGGGAGTGTTTATTTGGACGGACTGGATAAGGGGGATTGTAATCCATCGGACTGTTAATTCCGGGATACATTGTTTTCAGACTATTTAGTTGGATTGGATTTGTATCCCGTGTTTGTTTAGTCATGGGATTAGATGTCTGGATTGGACTATTTTTAGTGAATTCAATGTTTGGTTAGACGGATTAGATAAGGATAAATGTTTAAAAGACTATTTTACTCTTGTAATTTATAATTTTTATTTAATATATAATTTTAAATTTGTAATCTATAATTTATAATTTATAATTTAACAACACAAAAAAAATTTAATTTATAAGGCCATAATTTATAATTTATTATTTTTAAATAAATTTAGTTTATAATTTATATTTTTTATTTTTTTATTTAATATATAATTTTAAATTAACAACACTAAAAAAATAATTTTATTTAATATGTAAATTTAATTTTTTAACAACACACAAAATTTAATTTATAAGGCCATAATTTTTAATTAAATTAAATTTATAATTTATAGTTTAAATTTTTTATTTAATATATAATTTTAAATTAACAACACTAAAAAATAATTTATAAATGTTCAAAAGATTATTTATCTTTTCTAATTGTTTGCTAAGTAATAGTATGGGGTAAAATGGACATTTCACACATTAATCTCATGGGATACCAATCCCATGAAAATAATCCCCCCACCCTAGGATACAATTATCCCTCATATAAGGGACTAATAGTCCGGAGCAAAAAAATTGAACCAAACAATGGACTATTAGTCCGGTGGGACTAATAGTCCAATCCCATGCCTAATCTGTCAAAACAAACACACCCTAAGTGCTTGCTTGAAGATGGGTTTTGAACCACTTTGGTATTGTCAACCAGTGGCAAACGGGATGTGGGCAAAGGTAGTGGAAAATGCATTTGGAGCTTACACACTATGCGCAACAGACACTTTGGTTGTTTCCATCTCCAATTTGGTTCTTATGAGCCTGTGCTTATATCGAATATGGCTGACTATGAAAAATTTATCCCTAGTTTTTCAGTTTTTTATAGGTATTTTTTTAGTTCAATAACATAAAATTAGCATAATTAAAAAAAAAGGGGGCTATCACGGCGTTTCTAAAAACGTCGCTCAATAGCATACCA